TTGCTGTTAACCTTAAAAAGTAAAAACTGCTGGTTATTTTACCAGCAAAAGATGGGTTTGTTCAGGAATAAAAGCGAATTATAATCTGGGACAAAGACACTGTGGCAAAACCAAAGGTAAGTCCGGGGAACAAAGGAGAGGTAATATTATTCTTTTTTTCTTTTAAGGAGAGAAGGGGTACGTTGGGAAGGTTGCTATAAACTAAAAGTCCATTTGAGTACATTGGGAATTTGACATCTGGTGCCTTCTCATTGGTTGAGCTGCCTGGGGGGTGGAGGGGTGGAGGGAGGAAAGTGGCTCTTGCTCAAGCTGAAGTAGCAGAGTAGTAGCCACCGGCAAAATGAAACCCAAGTAAGGTCAAGTCTATCTCTTCCTGTTGGGTCTGCAACTGACTAGGCATGGTAGGGCAGAGCTCCCCCTGCCCAAACCTCCCCACTCTGTTTTAGTGAGGTTTCATGTTACTGATTTTCTCACATTGCACATCTGCAACTTCACTAGATCTTTCCCAACTGTTCTGCAGCTGTATTCCATTTTTTCTTTAGCAGTGTGTGCAATTTAACATGGTTCTGTTCTTTCCAGTAACACAGGTCTAAAGTAGTAAATTGTTTTAATTTGTCTTTCTTTAATGATTTGAAAAGTGGGGCACTTCCTTGTATTAGTCATTTGGATTTTCTCTTCTGGATATTGCCTACAATTTGGTGGGAGGAATAATGGAGAAACCATCTGAATTTTCTCTCAAAGGTAGCCAGTTATTCTGCTCTCATTTATCGAAAAACTCATTTTTCTATTGATTTGAAATGTCACCCTTAACATATCCCTATTTCTCTTATGTTTCTTTTTTTCTTGCAGTTTTCATTCCATTTTACAACTAAAGTGACTCAACTAAGGGAATTCAGTAAAGGATCCGATCTACTTGTACTTTCTTACATTGGTAATTTACTCTTGTAGCCAATGTAATTCTAGGTGATATTGATGGGCAGGGAAAACACTTTTTCTTCTCCTCTCTTAGGTTCAGTAACTGCAGCCTGGCAAGCTGAATTGACAAAAAACGGATTAATAGGAGAAAAAGGGTTATTTCATATGCCTGTGTTGGGGACCTCACAGAAATGACACAAAAACTCTAAAGAGTTGGAGCACCTTGCTGGCTCAGTCTGTGGAACACGTGATCTTGATCTTGGGGTCATGATTTTGAGCCCTACGTTGGTCCTTGAGATTACGTAAGGAGAAAAAAATAACACACAACTCTAAAGAGGTAGTCAGACATAGAGGCTTATGTACCATTTGAAGAAAGGGAAATAAATTTATGGAGAAATGATAAGACAAACAAAAAGGGTTTTGAGCTTCTAGGGTTTGTAAATTATGGGAAGGTAAATTTGTGGGGGAACTAATGAAAGATAAAAGTTATTTAGCAAAGTTTGTTTGTGAAATAGCACTTTGGTGCCAGCTTTCTCTGTCTTCTTTGTGGCCATAAATCTCCCCCCAGGAGAGGAGATTTATGACCGTCCTGTTCTTTTTTTTCTTAATGTTTATTTATTTTTGAGACAGAGACAGAGTGTGAACAGGGTAGGGGCAGAGAGAGAGGAAGACAAAGGATCTGAAACAGGCTCCAGGCTCTGAGCTGTCAGCACAGAGTCCGACGCGGGGCTTGAACCCACAAACCGTGAGATCATGACCTCAGCCGCAGTTGGACGCTTGACTGAGCCACCCAGGCGCCCCTTAGAGTTTCTGTTCTTAAAGGAAACCCCAAGATGGCTTCTTTCTCCATCTATTGTTTCTCAGTGGCCTTAAGGCAAAATGATCAATATTGCCAAATGGCAGAATTTGGGGCATGAATTCTGACCCCCTTCAATGTCACATGTATGGTAGGGTTGGTACCTCAAATTGCCATATTTCTTTTTTTAATTCCTGGATTTTCCTGCATGTCTATTCTCCCACGCGCATGAATTTTAGAATTATTTTATGAAATTAGAAAATTTGATTGGGATATTCAAAAATAATTGTTATCAAAGTATAAACTATTGGGATTTTAATTGGAAGTACACTGTGTTAGTAACTCTGAGCAAATTAATAACCTTATAACAGTGCATCTTCCTATCCAATTATTTGCTCTCGTACCCTGGTGCCTTCATGCTTTTTCTGATATAGGTCTGATACATTCTTGTTAAATTTTGCTTGAATACATTTTTTTAAACTTCTATTGCAAATATTTTGTCTTCCATTAGATATTCTAACCAGGTATTGTTTGTAGACGGAAAAACCACTCATTTTTGTATATTGATTTAGTAATTAGCTATATTGCTAAATTTTCTTGTAACTACTCATTAAGTTTTCCCTATTTTCTGTTAATTCTGAAAATAACTATAATTTTGTCTTTTTTCCACTATAATTCTTTCATTCCCTTACGGGAGGAAAAGAGAGATCAATTAATTAGAACATTAAGGTTCTTTAAAGGATGTATGACTTGGGAGAATCTTGCAGGAATTAGCATTTGGATAGGGAGGGAGGGGCAGGTGACTGAAATACACGAAATTGAGCAGTTCAACTCCGCACTGTTGGAAGTTAATCGTTAGAACGGATTGGTGCCCCGGGGAACTATACATATTACATCATAGAAAAAGTCACATACTAGGGAATATGTCGTGGTCACAGCAAGAACTAAAGTTTTTCTCTATTTAGATCACAACCAAATACTTAAAAGCCTGACATAAACACGTATACTCCTATGTGAAATGAGTCACATTATCATTTTCAATAAGTGAGCACCAACTTAACATTTTTGAATTCTCAGCACTCCAATCCAAGATACGAGTCATAAAAACAGTACCAGTAAGATCCCCAACCCTTCAGCATTCTGGTTACCATGTGAATTAAAGTGGAGTGGGTTTTTGAAACCCTTTTGTTCACCAGCTTCCTTCCCTACCTTAGGTGCTACTCTCTAAAGATTGTATAGATCCTTTAAGTTTCTCCACTGAATTGCTAACTTCTGAAAGTCAAGGCATTTTGGTTTCAAGCGTTTCTGCCTCTTGTCGCCTCCGGGATACACAAAGTGATATAATTTGAGCCACCGTGCAGAAAAGGGGCCATCCAATCTTGTGCTTAAATCAGTACAGTGTTAATATTCGTCAGTCATAAATTGTGGATCCACAATTGAGTGTTTTCCTTTTCAGGTGAAGTTTAAAGGAGGAGGGGAGTCGACCCCCAAACTGCACACTAGCAGAGCCCCGAATGGAAATACGGCAAAAGCTCCACCGGCCTCTCCCAGTCCAGTCCTTCTTGACTCTTACGAACTGAGTACAGCCCTGGCTTCAGGACACAAAGGAATATCCGGGACTGGGTACGACGACTGGCTTCGGGGATAATT